TTTCCAGGGATGTGCTTTTTGTTTCCCTAGAACGAGGTCTTTCACGGCTGCTTTGGGCCCTTGTGGGTACAGTAAGGCAAGATTTAACCTCCCAGGCCAGGGCTTTGAGACCAAGGGTTGCTTGAATAGTTACTCCCAAGAAGTGTGGACAGGAAAAAAGTCCTCAAATGGCAGAAAGGATGCTTAGGGACCTACTGTCAGTGTTGCCAAATTTATAACAATATAGCTGTCAGTGGTTTAGCTGAGAAACTACTTAATCTCTGTAGGTTTTACAGGGCAGGAATCTGAGCTGTGCTTCTGAAAATGGGCATTTTCAGTTCTATTGCTGAGGCCTTTCTAGCGCAGCACATTCTCCTGAAATCAAAACTGCAGCAAATCTTGAACCTACTCCTTCAAGTGTAGAGTTTCCAGCTGTAAAATTCTGTGGGATGTCCAAGGGTTGTGTGATGGCCACCATCAGTCAGGAAAGAGCTGCACAGGTCACACTGTCCTTCCCAGATTCTGACAGGGCAGGTGGATGTGTGAGTTTGGAGTCTAAAGGATTTTGGGACCTTTGAGCTGTTCAAGCCCTGCATGGAACAGTGGCAATGTCTCTGTGCCAGGATGCTGCTGTTCCCTGTTGCCTTTGTGCTCTTCTGCCTGGAATGCTGTGTCTGGAAAATGCTGCCAGTTTCAAACTAGAGAGTGGGTTTCACACCCGGGTTTTAGAGTGAATTACAGACCAGAAAAGCTGGATCCTGAAGAATCCAACACAAGCTAACAAAGATCTCCTCAATGTGGTGCTGGTACAAAGCACCTCTTTGTTAGGAAAGTAGGCATTGAGAACGGGCCAAACACCAATGTACTGGGACATTGACAGTGTTGGGGGATGAGTATGATGATTTTCAATGCTTTTTCAGTATTATTTTCTTCACACATTTTGTCTAAGACCCATCCATTAAAAGAAATCAATAAAATTAACCATTGTGCTAATATTGTGTGGCTGACCACAAAGATCTTCTGTAATGCCCAAATGTCCTTCCCCTGCACCCCGTAAGCTGTCCCGTGTCCAAGGTAGCAACATATCTCAGTCCCAAAGGCAGAGCTGGCTCACCTGGGTGAGTTTCATGCCTGAGGCTGAGGCTGGAGGGATGCAGGCAGGGTGTCCCTTCTTTGAGGTCTTGTCTCAGGGTCCCTCCTGCCCTTGTGCCCCCAGCTCCTTTGGGCTGGTGCAGCTGATGGCTCCTGGGGTGGGCCAGGGAGCAGCTCCAGCAGGGCATTATTTAGGTTCCCCTTTTCTTTCTGTGCTCTTTTCTGGGTGTGCAGATGAGCTTTTGTCAGAGAACCTGACGAGTGCAGTGAGAATGCATTGCATTTGTAAGTGGATTTGTAAAAAAAATATTTCTTTAAGGTCTTAAGGATTGCTTTATCTTAGTCCATTGTACCAATGTGTTTTTATCTTTGTTAATTACCAGATTGGCAAGGGACCAGGGACATTCTTCAGATCGTGAGTTTACAATGCAAATAAAATATGCCTTGGAGGAGAAGACAAAAAAACAAAACCTAAAACAAACAAAACCCACCTCTCTCCTTGTTCCTTCTTTCTAAAACGTGAGCAGACAATGACAGCAATCACGATTGATCCTGGTATCTTTCACAAGGTAAAATGTAGACAGAAGATTAAGCTCGACTCTCATTATGACCATTTGATCACCCTGGACCCACTCAGGACAGAGTTTGGAGGAACTTGTCTCTTCTGAACCTGCCTCTCTGGTCCGTGACCCTTTGCATTTTCCCTGCACTGCACATCACTGGCTATTACCAGCATAAATAAACTGTCCCAGGGAGCACAAAGGTGCCTTACATGGGGACAATGACATCGGTTGAAGGAGGGGGGAGTGGGAAGGTAGGAGACAAAATCCGGACCAGAAATAAGACCTTAAGCACCCAATCACTTAAGGTAGCTTAACCTGCTGCCTGCAGGGGCTGAGCTGGGATCTCTGCACACAGGCACAGCTGCAGGCTGGCACTGTTAAGCTCTGCTTATCTCTCAGGGGACTGTAGCTGGGAGAGGGCTGGGCACTAAATCTCCCTACCTTAAGTCCCCAGAAATTGTTTCTGGGTCTGAGGCCAAAATAGCCTTTTCACAGAGGTGCTAATGCCGAGGTCATGCCAGGGATGGTGATAAGGACTGTGGCTGCTATCCTGTTTCTTACTTGTAATGGCTTAATTTAACTATCACAAGTAGTGTCCAGAAGTGAAACATTCCCAACAGCTGGGGTTGACATCCCTGCATGGTTTCCTACAGCAATCCCTGACCTTCCACTTCCCAGCACCTTGGTGAATCCTATGGAAACACTTTTGCAAAGATTTATGCATCTTGTGTGAGAAGAGGGGGTGAGACAGACACAGGGATAATCTGAGATGTGGTACAAGATGCTGTGAAGAATAAAACTAGTGATGTCTGGGTTGGATCTGCCAGGTGTTCTAAGAAAGAAAGAAAACAAAAACAGAAAAAAAACCCAAAAAAACTCCAAGTCACACTGAACTGAAAAAAAAAAAAAAAAGATTTTGCATTCATTTCAGTCGTCCTTTTCCTCAGGCCATGTAGGAAGCATGGGCATTCAGAGGAAACTGTAAACAGTAAGAATTAAAATAGAGTATCCTGTCCTCATATCCACAAGGATATGATATCCACAAGGGAAAAGGGCCTTATGAAATCTGGTTTTTCACCTTTCCATCACATGCTAAAAAAGACAGGATGATTAGGAATGTGAAGACATTTTATCCCACTGTGTAAACACTGGTTTGGGTTTTGGTTTTTTCCTCCCTGAGTTATAAATACAAATTTAACCTTAGCTGAGTTACAATAAATAAATAAATCTGGTGAAATGGGTGCTTGTTTTGGAGGCCAGAACTGTTTTATCAACAGTACTCCATTTTATAGGCTTTTCCAAGAAAGGCTGGATAATCCCTCTCCCTTCTCCTCTTAAAAATGTAACAGAAGAGCAGGAGCTGTGTTTACAAATACTGATTTGGCCCAGCACTGACAGCAGTGGGGGGTTGACCTGCCAGCATTACAGCTCCTGAATTATCCACTCCATAAATGGAAAATCAATTTGCTTCTGGGATTCGGCATGTTTTCAGGGTTGTTAGAGGCTGTATTTTTGTTTAAACTCACATCCAGGCTAGGAAAGCAAATGTGTTTGGGGCTGTTGTGCAGTGCAGGGAGCAGCTGGCGCGGATGGGGCTGTGTGCTGGGGCTGTTCTCCTGAGCTCCCTTCCTGACCCCCAAGGCACAGTGGCTGCATCCCCATAGCGTCCCTAAGGCTGGGATTCCTGAATTTTACCCGGGAATACTTCAGAAGATTTCTGCTTAGTGTGAAAACTTCCCTCTGCAACATTAAGTGAATGCAGGAGGTTCCCTGATTTAGTGGTGCAAGGAGCCCAAGCAGATGGGGTTAATAAAGCCCTTTGTTATCCAGCCTGACCCACTTGTCAGCCCTTGAGCTGCTATAAATGCATGTGGAGGGGCCTGACTTAAAATAAATCTCGAGGCATTTGGCAAACAGCAGCTAATTGAAGGGCACATGCTACCCATCATGTGCTGAGGAGGAGAAACCTGGGGCAAAGGCTTAAAACCGGGGCCTGAGTCTCCTGTTTTTGGAACTGGCTGTATGGGACTCTGTAAATATTTACACACCACCTTTAAAATCCAAGCTGTTTCCAAGGTGCTGTGTCAAAGCCCTTGGAAAAGTGGTTTGTCCTGGGGCAGCTCCTTGCAGGTCCCCAGGAGAGGAGCCAGCAGGAAAGCTGGGGATGCTGCAGCTGCATTTCCCTCCTGTCTGGATAAACATTTGGGAGCACATTTGGGAGATGGGGGGTCCTGCATCCATGCCATGCACAGAATGGGTTAAAATGATGAGTTTTCATGGTAACAATTGCAGTTTTGCTGGCTCTTTGCTGGTCTGAAGCCTTCAGCTGAGCGATGAATGAGGCTTCTCTCGCTGGGTTTTCACTTGTTCATAAATTGCACATATTCTGACATGGTTGCTTCTCTGATATTTTTCCTACCTTTTTGGGAAAAAAAAAAAACAAACAAAAACCAACAAAACAAAGAGTGTTATTTAAGGAATGGCACTTTTGGGACTTTTGGTAAACATCTGAAGTTTTATAAACAACATGTTTTTCTTCACACAAAACAAAGCCTGTCCTACAATGGCATTCCCACAAAACACTGTGGGATGAAGGGATTCATTTTATGACTTTTAAAAACTTGTTTAAATCACTGCTGCCAGACAGGGAACACCAGGAGGGGAAGGGAGAGAAGCTCTGGGTCCCTCTATACCTCCAAAGCAGCTCTGTGCCTCTCTGCCTAGGCTGGGGTCAAGCAGCTATCACCTACCTTTCCTTGACAGAAAAAAGAGCAATTTTCCATGTCAAATGAAGGCCATTTATACTTTAATTTCCCCTATTTGTCCCAGGACATATGAGCTGGTTTTGCTTGGCTTTCTCTAATCACAAATCCAATCCCAATCCTTAAGAAATTAAGCTGGCTGGGGAAAGAAAGAGGAAATAACTGATTCATCTTCCTCCCTATGCTGCTCCTCCCTCCTTTGCTGGGTGCTTGCTGTTCAGCTGCTCTGAGTTATGAATACTTTGCTCTTGTGGCTATCAAGGTCAGCCTGAAGGAGGGAGGTGAGTCATTGTCATTCAAATAGCAACAAACTGTAATTCAAATAAGGCCAGAGCAGAGACAGGAGGCTGATTCAATACAAAGAGACTCAATGTCCACAGGTCGATGCTCTGCCCATTCCAAAATTTCACCCTCACACTCCTCAGTGTGCAAATACCAGAGCAGAGCTTCAGCCAGGACTGCTGTTTCCAGGGCTCTGACCTGATCAGAAGTTCTGGATGGGGAGGGGAAAAGCAGAGAACTTAGGGAGGAAAAAAAAAAAACAACCCAAAACAAACAAAAAAACTGACTATTTTTATTTCTTTTTTTGTCTCTGTGTCTCTAGGTTGCAAACTTTTCTCCATGGCTTAATCAGATATCAAAGCATGTCTCTCTGATGGAATGTACAACCCTATATGATCCCATCCTTCAGGAACTAAATTCCAAGACAAAGAATACAGTTTCTAACAGTTTGCTTGTTTTAATGTATGGCTTGGTCTCACACACAAAACCTGACTTTTAATTCCTGTACTCAGAAAGACAAGGGTCTGTCTTCAGCAAACCCTCATCAGGAGAGGTTATCAACAGGACAGAGAGGTGGAAGGAACTTTGAAGCACTGTGAGAAGGTGAAAGGAAATTCCCAGCTTGTCCTTTTTTCAAGCCTGTTTGGGGAAGATGAAGCTTCTCCCTTATGGCTGGCTGTAGTGGGGTCAGTCTGTTCAGCCAGTGCTGACTGCCTGCTGCAGCCTCTCCTTTTTGCCTTACGTTGGAGCCTGTGCTTTTGGCCGGCGGTGGGGCAGAGCCCAAGGGGCAAAGATGGTCGTGGTAAGGAGGAGGAATGTGAAAATGTTCACCTTTGCCTTTTTGCTGATCACGGTGACGTCGTTTCTGCTGAACTACACGCACCAGGTGACCACGACCACCTGGGACCCCAGACATCTCGTCGTGCAGTTTTCAGAGCACGTCCAAAAACTCTTCAGGTACCCCAGGAGACCTTGCAGCTGTCACACGTGCATTTCAGAGCTGGGACATTCCCTCTGGTTTGATCAGAGATTTAACTCAACTATGCAACCTTTCCTGACCTCACAAAATGCCTTGATCCCAGAAGACAGCTACAGGTGGTGGCTGGTAAGTGAGGGGTGTGGATACAGCCTGGGCTTTGGGTGATGGTGGTGGTGTCAGGCTTCCAGGGATGCCAAGCACATAGAAAGAGATGTTTTCTGCCCAAAGCATTTGCTGTCTCAGCTGACGAGGCGGAGGTGGAAGGAAGTGGGTGTTGGTGCTGCTGGTTAGCTCGGAGTGCTTGGAGTCCACATTCACTTGCTCTGAGCTACAGAAGTCCCTGACACAGTTAGGTGAACCAGAATTTCCAAATGTCAACACTGTCATCTTCTCCCTTCTCTTACAAAGACCAAGCTTCATAACCCCTCTGTTTCTGCTTCAGATAGGCTTTTTTGCCATTCATTAAGGCAGATAATCAAACTAATTGCGAAGTATGTCATTCCCCCGGGTCTCTCCTTACCATAAGATACATAAATACTTAGCAGGATTAAATGGGAAATTATTAATTCCGTGTGTATGAGAACATTCTCTGTTGTGGCTGATGGTGTAAAACAGATTTGGAAAGCTCATGGGTGGCGGTGGGTCACTGGGAAGGAACAGCCCCAAGTGTGTCCTTGAGCAGGGTGGTCCAGCTACCTCTTGAAGCCTGATCATGAAAGCAAACTGATGCCTTGTTCACAAATCGCGGAAGGGAAAAAGATGTGTCCTGTTGTTTTGCCTAACAAAAGCCCCTTTTATGTTCTCTTGAAACAAGACATCAGTTGTTTGAATTACTCATGGCTGTGCTAACGAGGTGCTAAATTGCAGGTTCTGCTGCAACAACCCCAGTGAAATCGCAGTTTCACTGCACTTGTTTTCCCCCTTTTCCGGAAAAATAGTCCCCTGTGCCTTTCTTTGAACACACAACAGCCTGCAGCTTAATGTCTTGCAGCAGCAAAACCCTTGTTGTTGAATTCTGGGCTTTCAGGGCTTCTCTGGCACCCTGAGGGGGCCTCTCCAACAGGCACCCACTGTTGCAGTGGGGACATTTGGGTTTTGAGGGGATGTCAAGTGCAGTGGAGATGAGGCTGTATTGGATTTATCACTTCTCACTCCACTGGGTGTTGTATTTAGTGCTGAAAAATAAATGCCACTGAACTCTGTCATCTTTAATCAGTGTGTAAATGATATCATTGTTTTATGATGAGGCCCTCCTTTTTGCAATGACTCAAGTTCTGCAGGTGCTGTATCTTTTCACCTTCCCCTTGGCCATGACTTTGATTTCCTATTGCTTGTGGTTTTTCTTGCAGCTTCCAGACACTTTTCCATCTGGTCCCCATGTGTTTTGTCTGGACTTTGCTGGAGCCTTGAGAGGGGAAGATGGCAAGCTCAGGTCCTTGCCCTTGCCCTGGCTTGAGTTTTCACTAGGGAGATGGGCTGTTCTAACAAGTGGCAGTTTTCAAAGGAGTGGACATTCCCCAGACTGAGCTCAGTAATGAGAGGATGAGGTTACTCATGGGCACCATGAGAAAAGCCACTCTGCATTCTGCACTCAGAACTCACTGATTTAAGCATGAGGTTTGAATGCATTCTCTCTTAGGAAAATATATAATAAAAAGAAGAAAAAGCTTGGGAAGAAGCTTGGTACAGAAGTCTGAATATGTAATGCCCTTTCTTGTAGTGAAACAGAAGAAAAAAAGAAAGGAAGCAGTGCTTCTTCGATTTACAGAATCAATTAGGTTGGAAAGGACCTCTGAGATTATCAAGTCCAAGCTGTGACTGAGCACCACATGGTCAACCAGACCAGGGAACCAGGTGCTACATCCAGTCTTTCCTTAAACACCTCCAGGGGTGGTCGCTCCACCACCTCCCTGGGCAGCCCATTCCAATGTCTAATTACCCTTTCTATGAAGAAATTTCTTCTAATGTCAAACTTAAATCTCCCCAACCATAGTTTTGGACTGTGTCCTCTCGTCCTGTTGCCAGTTCTCTGGGAGAAGAGACTGACCCCCACATGGCCACAACCTCCTTTCAGGGGGTTGTAGAGAGTTACAAGGACACTCCTGAGCCTTTTCTCCAGGCTGAACAGCCCCAGCTCCCTCAGCCTCAGTCACCTCATAGGACCTGTGCTCCAGACCCTTGCTCCAGCACCTCAGTGTCTTTCTTGAAGTGAGGGGCCCAGAACTGGACACAGCACTCGAGTCGTGGTCTCACCAGTGAATTAAAAATTCAGCTCGACCTGGAACAGATTCTTTCAGAGGAAGTTTTTTTCTTTTTCAGCAAAATGAAAAAACAGACTTTCAGAACAGCTGAAAATCTCCCCATCCCAAACAAAAGCTGTTCATTAATTTTCAGGGCTGTCTAACCATGTTTTAGTGTTTTCATTTTTATTTTTTTTTATTCAGATCAAGTTCAAAAGGACTATACCACTTCAGAATACAAAATCAAAGCAATTTTTTTTCAGATGGTAAAAATAAATCTTCTAAGATTTCTAGACTTTTTCAATCTTCAAGCAGGTTGTGTGAAATATTTTGATGTCCCCCATAACTGCATTCTGTATTGGAAGTTTTTACTTTCTGAAAGTCTTTGCTCTAATGTGTAGGAGATGGAGAAAGTGCCCTGACTCCACTGAAAGATGGTTTTGAGTAAACCCCAGGCATGATGTGGCCTTACCTCCTCACTGCAGCTGATTCCTTATGTACATGTTGCTTTGGGTAAGCTTTTCTGAGATGGTGTCATTTCTTCAGTAAATAATTCCCAGGTGCATCCTGAGGGCAACTCCCTTTTCGCTGCTCATTTTTAGGCTCATCTTCAAAGCAATTCTGAGATTTCAGCCAGTCTTTAAGAAAACATTGCTCATGGCCATGTTTCACTCTTGTGTGCTTTGCCAACTCAGTAATTTGTGACTTTTTGCTGTATTTGTACATAAAAAGGAGGTATGAGGAAACCTGAGATTGCTCAAACCTCTTTTTGGGTTGGGGGGGAATGACTGGGTGCACTCTCAGGAGCTGATTTCAGACAGTGTGGCAGTTCTGCTGAGCTGTACCTGAGGCTCTGAGATGCACTGGAGTTTTTGTTACACAGCTGTGGCTCCCCTGTCGTGGTGTGCTGCCCTAAAAGCAGGCAGAGCCCTTGCCTGGCCACCAAACTGAGTGTGCCCTCCCTCCCCCTTAACCCATGTTGCTGTAGATGTGCATAAGTGCTGTTCACCCAAACAGTCCTGCAGCATTAGTATCCCTCCTACCAGGACACTGAGGACTCATTTCAGAGATTAATGACCAGTATTGGAGACAAAGGGATATTTGGCACCAAAGAATGGGGTGGTTTCCCTTGCTTACAGCTCTTTTCATACCTGCCAGGCTGCTTCATGGTTTATTTGGAGAATATATAGTTTGAACACTTTCAGCCTGGTAGGATGTGACCTTTAGAAGGAAATATTCCTGCTTGCTCTGAATAAAACTGTTTGTGTATAGTGGATTTAGTGCTACCACCTGTGCAGGTGGGGAGGAGCAGGGGAGAGAAGGTCAGTGCCACCATCCCTGCAGTGGCTCCTCTTGCTGCATGGGGCAGGGCTGCTCCAGAGAAAGCCCCTGAAAATGTACCTGGCTGTTTCTTTGTTCATGGAAGCAAGGGGGATGTTGTCAGGACTGCTCCCTGCTTCTCATTTGCTTAAATATACACAAACTGTCCATTATTTTAATCAGGTAGCAAATAATGGCCCAAATTCTCCTCCTGCCTGTACCCCTGCAGCTGTTCTGTACTTTTGGTGACTTAAAGTTGAATTGGAATCTTCTACTTTCAGGGAGGATCTGGGCATTAATAACACTTCATGCTGTGAACATTTTGTTAGAAATTCCTCCCTCTCTCCCTCTTCTCCCTTTCACCCCTCCTGTCTCTCACCTCCTGTCTCCTCCTCTGCCTTCCCTTATGCTCAGGGACCGTGAGAGTGTTTTTGCAGGGTGGCACCTGCTGTTATGTAATACATTCCTTTCTGTTTATATTTTCTTTCCCTGAGCTTGTTCACCTGCAAGTTTTCCATTGTTTTACCATGACACAAAAGCTGTGATGTTCTCACTAAATTTAGTAACCTATATGTAAGGAAATATGGCAAGAATTATATGCTGTAACGAAGCACAGCATTTATTTATCATTTTCTTGTTTTGTTCTAAGGGGTGAATGCGTTGTTCTTGGAGGTCAGAAAGTGTAAAAAATAGGAGATTAGAGCCTGCTGTTCTAAACCCATATGTTGAGGCTGATGGATTGAAGTTGTGATAAGTAAATTTAGGTTCAGAGTTTCCTGGCAATCTTCTCTGCAGCACATTGTTCATAAACTGTCGTGTTATGAAAACTTTTATCTTGTCTTATAATGTTGGAGGGGTTTTGCCTTTTCTTTGGAAGAAAGCTCAGATCTTGGGGCCATGTTATTAGCATATATAAAAGAAATTATTAGTTTAAATTCATTATGTTTGTAGGAAAAATGTAATATATGGCTTAAAAATTTGCTTTCAGCCAGTGAACAAAGGGGCATCCCCACCCAACACGTGTGCTGAGGAAGTTGGGGCAGCTGCACTGATTTTTAAGGCAGCAGCAGAGCTGCTTGGCACCTGAATCATACATTTTGAGTGCTCTCTGAGGAAAATGTGCAAATACTTTCATCACCAGAAGTTTCCTTTGAAACTGGGAAGCTGTCTGTGACACTTTGAAAGCAATTCAGAGGGCTCAGCACTTTGAAGGTAGCCTGTAGCTACCAGATCACTATAGAAGGTGGTACCAAATCCCAAATCCAGGCCCCTGGCTCTGGTCCCAGTGCCTGCCACATGCCCAGTCCCACCTGCAGTTGAGCTGCTTGGTTGTAAGTGTGACATTTAGACCAGATTTGGACCAGATTTTGGCCCTGGACCCCCTCTTACCCTCACTGGCTCCCATGTAAGTCGAGCTGGGCTGGAGCTGCTCCTCCTGTGGTGAGGACAGATGGATGTGAAGGTGGTCCAAGCTCACAAGTCTCAGCACAAGGGTCAGAGTAGTGTAGAAGTGACCCATACCAACCATGGAAGTCAGAAATTGTACAACTCAGCATATTATTGTGTGTTATTTACAAAATACATATGCACATACATATTTATATTTGAGAGGGAAATTTTCTGACTACACAGATCATTAAACAAAACCCAAACTCTTGACAGCTCCTCTATTCTTCCCCTTCAACTCTTAGATGCATAGTAATTGAAGGACATTAAATAATAACAGGAATAAAGCCATATTTTCCAGACGAAAGAGGCATTTTTAAAATTTCCTGATGATTTCCTTTTAAATTCTCCTTGAGTCTGTAGAACAGAGATTACCTGGATTTGCCCCACCAGACTGTTGGTAGGATTAATCTTGTAGCTGGGAAGTGTTGCATCGGTGTTAATGCCTCCAAACTGCAGCAGTGAGGCAATTAGTAGCTGTGCAAAAGAGATTCTCATGGAGCTTTATTTGCTCTTTATCTTTTAAAAACAGTTAAAAAAAATTAGAAAAGCCACAAACCCCAGTATTGCTACCCCAACTTCCCCCAGGCTGCCTGGCTGTGTTCTGGGGCTGCCTCACCAGTGCTGGCTGCTGCCAGACCCACAGCTGTACCTGTCTGTCCCCCTCAAGGGTTCTGCCTTGGTCCATCTTCTATCTGCAATCCACACCACACCAGTGATTGCAGACTAATCTATTCTACCTGATAATGATTTGGGGTTTTGAAGGTGTGCTTAATGTGCTGGCAAACTTGGCCATGGGTGCAGGATGCACAGCAGGAGAGCTTTCCCTTGTGGTTCTCCTGGCTCCTTTGAGAGGACCCAAGATAAAAGGACATGGATGTCTTGGAGCAAGTCCAGAGGAGGCCTGGGAAGATAGCTGGAACACCTTTCTTGTAAAGACAGACTGAGAGAATTGGGGTTGTTGAACTTGGGGAAGAGAAGGCTCTGGGGAAACCTTATTGCCAGCTTTCAATATCTAAAGGGGCTACAAGAGAGCTTGTCACAAGGGACAGGGACTGATAGGACCAGAAGGAATGGCTTTAACCTGGAAGAGGGCAGGTTAAGATCCTGTTAATAAGTTATTAAGAAGAAATTCTTTCCTTTGAGTGTGGTGAGGCACTGGCACAGGTTGCCCAGAGAAGTGGAGGCCCCATCCCTGGTAGTTTTCAAGGCAAGGTTGGATGGGGCTTGGAGCAACCTGGTCTAATGGGACCTGTGCCTGCCCATGGCAGATGAGATGACCTTTAGGGCCTCTTCCAACCCAAACCATTTTGTGATGTCATGACTGTAGCTGTGTCCTCACCACTCCAAGCCATTAGCTCTGTATTGGCTGAATTCACAATCTCCCTTTGCAACCCCTTAGCCAAGTTTTGGGTATTTCTGCTTGGTAGTGCTGTCAATGTGATTGTGTTGGAGAACCCAGTGAAACTTTAAACTGAGAAGTTTAAAAAAGCAGCAAATCCCTTGTCCTCCTTAGTGGGGGCGTGCATGAGGAGGGAACAACAGGCTCTTCCTTGGAGAGATGTTCATGGCTAAAGAAAGGGAGTGCATGAACTTTGAGGGTTCTTTTTTCTTGCCTTTTTTGTTTTCTTGCTAGCTCACTTCTGTATGTGAAGTGGGGAGTTTCTAAGGCTGGGAGATGATTTAGGAAACTTCTCAATCTGAACTCCCAAATATAGTTTTTAACAACCTGAGGTGGAGAGTTGACTCTCAAGTGACGCACAAATATTTTATGGAGGGAAGCTGGACTGTTTAGTAATCCGGTGATATTTTATATGTGGACACAAGATGGGTTACGATGCTTTATGATCTTGGACAAAAACATGAACTGCTTCTTTAGATACATGTATTACTTGCACAGACTTCTGAGAAAAGCAGCCACTTCACTCAGGACATAGGGGTCGAGTATTTCAGTGTAGTTAAGGCTGCTCTTAGCAGCTACATCCATACACATATCCCTGTGACACATCTACAGCATTTGGAGGGAGGATGCTGTCCTAGCAGAGCCACAAGCTCTCACTCACAGACTTTCATTCTGTGCTTTTGTTGATTTATGGGAAAAGCCAGACTGGAGAGAGCTTGATAAGGAGGAAAAAAAAAAAAAAAAAAAGACAAAAGTTTGGTGTGGGAAAGTGAACTGTAATCGTCTTGTAATTGTAATGCTATTAAAATGGCTTTTTTTCAATAAGCCAAGCAAATATTGTGCAATAAGGAACTGTATAAGGAATTGTGCATGCTAAGTCTGAATATTTACAAGCTGAATATGCCTTGGAGTTAACCAACTTTGTTGCTTCCTCTTCTCTGTTTTACTGAAACGTCAAAGACTAACCAGTGTTGATAGAAGATTAGTCCTGAAATGTATAGTTCAATCAGATAATCCCTGAGAAATCAGAGCAGAGCACTTAAAATGAGTTAAGGACAGATATATCATTGTATGGGTGTTCAACACACAGTGCAATAAGGTCATCACCCTATTAGAGGGCACTGAGAGAATCTCTAACATTAATAATTGTCTTTCCTATGGAAGTTGTGTACAACAGAAGGATTGTAGGACAGTGGTGTCGTGCTTTCAGGTTGATGTTAGTTCCCATGTTTCAGCTTGGTTGCAGTAGACTTACTCTAGACAGAAGCATAAAAGAATGGTGAATGCCTGAGATCTGTAAATGGAGGAGCCTGTCCAGGATGTTTCTTACTATTTCAATACAGCAAAAATGCATCAATAATCCAGGTCTTTCCGTTTTCTGATGCTGTCAATCTGAATGAAAAGAAAATTTAACTTAAAAGGGGCACCAAGGTACTTGGACTTTTCTGAAAATTGCCTTCCTGTTCTGAATTTTCTCAGGGAAAATCAGTTCAGGGGTGAGATTTTGATGGGTTTCCTTTTCATTTCTGAAAGACAGTTAAGAATCAGCCCATCTTTACAGAGACAGAGAGTATATATGGATGAATGCAAATGTTTGTTCAAATAACACAAAATAAGTTTCTTTTTCAGAAAATACTGTATTTTACTACATTATGCACCTGTACTACACTCTGACATCTGTGAAGTCTCAAATTGTTTTGAAGGCTGGAGGTTTTCTAACATTGTTTTTTCTCATATTCAGAGCAAGATGAGGTTAGATTTGATTAATAAAGAACACACAAGAGTTCAGATGTGTAGCCATGTGTTTGTTGTTGCATCACACACAGATTCAGAAGATAACTTTTTTTATATATAATTGAGCCTTGCACTGAATAGTGACACACATGGCCACAATTACAGTGCTTGTCTGGTCATCCTAATTACCTTGCATCCTAATAACCTTGTGCAGTCCATATACAAGTACATAGATTAGAAAGGATTAGTGGGATGATTAATTCTGTATATGCTTAAGTCTGTATATGTATATGTATATGATTTCTTTGTCTACTTTGTTTCAATTTCTCAATGTCATCTTCTAGCTCTGAGCTCCAGAGACCTGTTGTTCATTTCAGTGCAAATAAGGTCCTGCAAAAAGCACAGAATTTAAACAAAAAATTACAGTGCTGCACCTGTTCGTGTTTGTGTGAGAGAGGGAGATAGCAGGACAAATTATCAGTTCCTGGTGCAGTCAAGGGCAACACTTTAGAAACTAAAGCCAAATTAGCCCAGGCCATTCCTGGGAGTCGTGGGAAAAGGTGTTTCTCTTCTGTCCCTCCCTGTCTTTCCATGCCCTGGACTGGCAGAGCAAGACAGAGCCTTTTTGGACTATTTTGTGCTGGAGCCACTCTCCTTTTGTGAGCTTGGAAGCGAGTGGCACCGCGAGGGTGGGCAGTGCTGTTTGTGAGCATGCCAGTACTCCCAACCTCTTCAGAAAATGTCTGAGAGCTGAGCCCCAGAACGGGAGTGTGTGACCATCACCTGCCCTGCACCGTGCCTGTACCTTCCCAATCCAGCCATTGTTTCCACCATGCACCACAGAGCTGCAACACAACAGTTTCCCTCCATGGCAACAGACACAATGACCAAGGTCCGGGTGGTTTTCTTCATCCTGGAGATTTTTTTTAGATGATTATACATCTCCAGCCCTCAGGGCTAACTCTAGTAGAGTTTCTTACTGCTTGAACAGCTGGTTCCTCCACAGTTCACTTCCCATTTCCCTCTCCCACACCTGGCATATGCCAGAATTTGTGGCAGGGATATCAGCCACGTCTGTCTTCAATCAGCTCCCCTGAGACTTTTCCGTCATTTATAGGAGAGTTAAAAGAAATCTTACACGTATCCTAACAGAAGATACTTGACCCAGAGTGGGTTTAGGCTTATAGAACACCAGAGGAACATTTATTCTCCTAAGGCCAGCCTCGGGGAAGATGCTTGATCTGTTCTATCATGTCTAGATAGAGACTTGAGGAAGTGTGAGAATCTGATGGGAAGGAGAAAAAGGAAGCCAAGTTTAAAAAGTTAAGGGGTTTTCCACTTGATTTTTTTCGCACTTTGGCTCCCAACCTGAAGCCTTGTGCTGCAGAAGGCAACATCTGTGGGTAGATGGAGGAATGCTCTTTGAGGAGACATTTCAAGCCATCTCTAGCTCACAGAAAAGCTGCCTGTGTCGGTAACCTGGAGCGATTTTTCTCCCTAACAGAAACTGCAGGGAGAGAAAGCTCCGAAGAGTTTGAATGCCACTCTCACAGAGCTGTTTGGGCTCATCCCTGGGGACAGGGACCCGCTGCAGGAGCGGGGCTCCTACACCTGCAGGCGCTGCGCCGTCGTGGGCAACTCCGGCAACCTCCGGCAGTCTCAGTACGGCCAGGATATCGACTCCCATGACTTCGTGCTCAGGTGAGTGGAGACCACCTCAGCCACAGATGCCTTTCTTCTCTAAATTTCATACTCTTAGTTGGTATTTGGGGAGGTACAAGTGAGTAAACAAGGTTTCAGGGTCTGTCTAGTGAAACCTGGTACTTAAGTCAAGCCTAAGTTTCAGGGCATAAACTAGGAGTGTTGGAGCTAGGACCTCATGTTTTAGCTTGGACAAAGAAACATTAATAGGTATTGATACTGTAGCTTGTTCTGCACAATCTGTAACTGCCTGTGTTAAAAAATGTAGGTGAAAAAAGATTTGCACTTAGGAGTAAAAGTTATTTCTGCAGCCAGAGCTCACGAGCAATCTTTTAGGCATTTAACTGACTGTGTTAGATTTGACTTTCTTGCACCAGCTCACTCTTAAACAGTGGTGAGGTGGGGGAACCAGAGACGCCTTTCAGTGGACCAGAGTCACCTGTTGGGCTGCAGAGAATTTGTAAAGCATGGCATTGCCTTTCCCTTTTGAGGCAACAAGGTTGGCCACTTTGTTCCACTGAAAGGCAAGCAGGAACTAGGCAAGCAGAGCTTATCATGCAGAGGACAGCCAAAATATCTGGACTAAGTTCATCTCCAATGTGTCATCTGCTTTTCACACCACAGCTGCCAGCACAGCACAATTTGGAGAGCAATAAAGAGCAGGAAGGGAGGGATTGCTCTTGAAATGCCACATGTGGGATTATTCTCTCAGAAGCAACAAAAGCCTTAGAAGGAAACTGTGCTCTGAAGTCAAGAATAAATCAACAGAGGATCAACACTGTTTGAATTGTTAAGCCACCTTGGCTTCTGATGTGGCTTGAACATGGCATAGTCTTCAGATGGCATCTAAATCTTCACAAATCATATCAGGAGTTGCTCCCTGCCAAAAGTACCTCCCCAAAGGCAGAGGCACCAAGCTGTCCTTCAGATCCATGAAGGGAAAGGGAGAGCCCTCAACATTATTCCTACAGGTTGTAAATGTGGGGCAGCTGCAAATGTGGGATGCTGTGGTGCATTTATGTTTAACTCTGCGTCCTCCCATATGGAGACAGCCCCATTCCTGTGTGGACATTCTTATATTGCCTGTCCTACATTTCCAGAGTTGTGCAGACTCAAAAGCTGGTAGTAATAGCTAAGGTGCATGTTTCTGCTCCAAGGCCTTGCCCATCCCATAGCCAGCCATCCCTGACAAGGACAAAACTCTTGGTGACTTAGGGAACCTTCCAGTCTCAGATTTATATTTCTGCCATCTTAAGCCAGATCTGAAACAATTGCACAAGGTTTTAGGATTCATCGTGGGAATTTGTGCAGGGAAGGTGACACCTCTGTGCATCAAACCCAAAATCTCTGGTGACCTGAAATTCACTTCCACATCCTCTGGCAATACAGCCAAGTGCTGTGGAGAGCCAAGGAGTTTGAGGGGGCACCTTTCCTTCCAAACAGCATGTTCCAGCCCACTTTTATTTGTATAACTAGCTCCTTCCATGACAGAAGGAAGTTCCTGCTTGGTCCTTCCTGCTGAGACTGGGTGTGAACGCTGCCTTCTGCCATCTGGCACCGACAGCCCCACCATGGGTGGCAGGAAAGGCACAGAGACCCAAGGGCAGATTGTAAGATGACCAACATGTCACCCTTGTCTTTGTCTTGATGGGAAGAAACACCCATATTTTATACCTTTGACTACTGACTAATCTCAAGGTAAAACACAGAAAGTCCTGTGCTTTTCCAGTATTTCTACACGGTGTGCTGTGGGTCACTGACAGGGAAGCCAGTAACAGGGAACTCAATAACAAATCCACAAGGCTGGCAGGATATTCTAACTACACTAATAACTCCCTTGAAGGGAGTTAGAAGAAACTTAAGTAATTCACCTGGGGGAGAACTGCAATAACACAGCCTGGCATAGACTTGATAAACAGATTTTGCATCTCCTGTTATCATTAACCAGGGCAGCATGTTGTCTGGCAATGTATGATGCTCCTCATTACCTCCTCAGCTACATCCTTCCTTGTCCTCCCTGTGCTTCTGCCAGGAGCTGATCTAATGTTATTGCAGGAAAAAAACCAACATTTTGCTCAGAGACAACTGAGAGGTTTCTCCATGGTTTTACACAGCACCATGGAGTCATGCAAGTTGCTTCAGGGATCTCTAATGTACAATGTGCTGCACCACAGAAATATGCAAATCTCTGCCACTGAGGAGCTAAAGCAGCAGGGAGAGAATTGCTGATGTGTTCCCAGATTGGCTTTCAGAAGTGAACACAGGCACAGAGGCATTTCTGCAGTCCTGAGTTCAGAAATCCCTCTCTGTTCCCTGTATGGGCCACTCATTTAAGAGTTGGACTCAATGATCCTTGTGGATCCCTTCCAACTCAGAATATCCTTTGATTCTGTCAATCTGTGATACATCCAGCATAAGGTAGGGCAGCCCTGTTTAGCCAACACATCTTAACTGAGCCCTGGAGGCCCCGGGCAGATCTCCATGGACTGACCCCAGGGTTACCTAAAGCACCCCATGTGTGTGCAGAGTATCTGTGGAGTACATCCTACAAAGTAAAAGTAAGGTTTGAGTAAATGAAGGGTCAGCAGCAGGTCCTGTATTTGTCTCTATTTGGCACTGATTTGGTGCCTTTTTGTGGGAGAACCATAAGGAATATTTGCTGCTTCTCATCAAACACAGCATGGTTTATTACCTTTACCCAAGACATTCAAATATCCTGTAAGGATAAGGGGGAAATGGAACTGCAAGAAGTCAAGCTGATGTACTTCAGGGCAATGTTTTTCTCACCAGCTGGAGGATGCAGCTTTAGGATGAAGTGAGATGTGTCCTCATGGGCTCACCACTCTTTTAATGACTGTAAGGGGAATGCAGGGATGTGCTCAGAGACACACCTGCCTGGTAGACACTCCTGTTCAGTCCAAGGAATTCCACACTAAGGCTGAGCTTTCATTTACTGTTCAATCATATGGGTTATGATCATTCCAGCTTGCCTGAGGACCCTTACATCTGTCAGGGCTATCTGAAGACCTGCATATAGCACTCCCCTTAGCCATGGAGCATGTTCCTGCACCTCAAGAAAATGACTTGTGAAAATTCACCAAAGTACTTGTACTTACCTAATTCCTCTTCTATCTTAATTCTTATTTTTGGGCTGCAGAATGAACCGTGCCCCCACTGCTGGCTATGAATCAGATGTTGGGAGCAAGACCACTCACCACTTCGTTTATCCTGAGAGCTACAAAGAGCTGGCAGCAAATGTGAGCATGATCCTGATCCCCTTCAAAACCCTGGACCTGCGCTGGGTTGTCACCGCTCTCACCACAGGCACCATCAACTTGTGAGTAAGGGCAGGCACAAGGGGTGGGAGCTCGGTACTTCACATTGCTGTAGCAGATTATAGCCTGTGTGGGGCAAGTCCCTGCTTCTCATAAGGCCTAGGGTGCTTTGCAGACCCACTCAAGTCAGAGTTCAGCCCTAAACACTTGATTTCTAGGAAAAGCTTAATGTTATATTGCAGTTGTTGAGGCAAAGATCGAGATCCAGTCTCTTACATTCCTGTGGTCTCAGAGAAATGAAAAGGGGAGTTTTTGCTGGTGAAGGTGACCAGTTTGATCAAAAGGCTCATAAGCTTTGGGGTTCAGTGCCTCATTTTGGGCTTCTGCTCATCCCTCCTCCTCTCTGGTTCCTTGGGAGTCAGTACACTTGCAGAAGAGGATGAGGAATGTGCGGGCTGCTCCCCTAAGAGCAGATGCAGACTGCAGCACTTGAGGATGAGCTCCCCTGGACAGGTTGGTCAGGAGCTTGGTCTGTCTTTCCTGGTGAAACATGACTGAGAACTGTTCAGAGGAAACAATGTTTTATGTGTCACCTTCATGACTTAGCCTAAAATTCAAGAGTTCTGCTTGGCAATAATGTGACACACTGGAATTTATTCTCCAGTTCTTTTTTGAATGCTGTCAGAAGTAAAGGTTGTCTCCTGCTAGATATATTTATGGCAGCACCAGAATTAGAAATGTGATCAAAATGCATGTTTCTTCTGGAAGCCTGCTAGCAGATTCTCTTCCTTCCTGTAAGCTGGCTTTTCCTAATCCAGAAAATGAAATATGTGACATTTGTACTGTGTGCAAGGTTATCTGCTGGATGTGGAACCACAGCCTTGTGGGATCGCTTGGTGACACTCTGCTACACATAGGCAGCAAGAGCAGATCGGATTGCTTTACTCCAGGGAGAAATATTTCAAGACATTTCAACTTTTTTCTTGATTTCAAAGTATCAGAAAATTTAAACTTGTAATAGTGTGTCTTGGGCATGTTGACTGGACATAAGACCCACTTTGCAATTTTAAGTAAAACTCTTTCATGGAAAAACAAATGAAGTTTTATTTTTTCTCTTCATTTTCTTTTCTTTCTTTGTAGATACACGTTAGATTCTTTTTATTTCTTATTAAGATTCCCTTAACTTGTAACAAATCTGTGTTAGCTTTCTTTAACCTTTTTTATCTCCAGCATTTAATATATACAGTCATAAACTGGCTTGAAAAAACCCACCTTCAAGACACACTCATAACTTGGGAAAATCAGTACACTTAAAAAAGTGTACCACTCACTACAAGAACATCACTGAGGGGCTGAAGCCTGTCCAGGGAAGGGTCTGCAGCACAAATCTGATGAGGGGGAGCTGGGGGCATTCATCCTGGAGAAAAGGAAGCTCAGGGGCCACCTTACCAGTCTCTACAGCTCCCTGACAGGAGGCTGTAGCCAGGTGAGGGTTGTCCTCTTTTCTCAAGTAACAAGGAATAGAGGAAATACCTCAAGTTTCACCAGGAAGGTTTAGATTGAATATCAAAAACAATTTCTTTGCCAGAAAAGTTGTCCAGCACTGCAGCAGGCTGTCCATGGGAGTGGTGGTGTCACCATCCCTGAAGGAATTCAAGAAATGTATAGGTGTGGCACTTAGGGACATGGTTTGGTGATGACTTGGCAGTGGTGGGTTAACTGTTGGACTCAATGATCTTAGAGGTCTTTCCAACCTAAATGGTTCTATTGTTCTATAATTTACATGGACACAGGTTCTGCAGGCAGGTGCACTGCCTGTCCCTGCTCTGGGAAAAAGCTCTTGGTACTTCCTGATCTCTGAGCCCTGCTCTGATTTCAAGTACACTCTTAGCCTATGAAGAAGGCATAACTGGTTGACCACAATGTAGTGAAAAGGAAAACACCTTTGCTTAATAAATTACAGGATTTATTATATATTTATAATTGGATTGTATACAGGGGCTTAGTAAGCATCTGGTATAAATTAGTGAGTATTTAACCACATGAAAGAAATACCAGTATTTTAAGATATTTGCCATTCTCAAAACAGAGAAATTGTGTAATTAATAAGCTGGAATAATAAAAGCAGAAAATCATAAGCATACAAATCATAACAATGCACATAGCATAATTTTAGCCTTGTAGAATTAACCTACGAGCACGCATTAAACACACAGTGTCAGATAATGGGTATAAGGAAATTGTTGAGTGCACATTTTTGAAAGAGAGAAAGCATGAAATAAAAATAAAACACATTTGAAAGTCAGTATTTTAGAAAGGAAGAAGTACTTATCTCCTTACCCTGGTCTGCTTGGGCATTGTTCCATGTGTATAGTGTCAGCTGAGTTCAGGCTAACAAGATCCCAAGTGTACTCATTGATAAAAAAAAGATAAGCATCCTGTATTGGTTAGACTTTTACACAGTGTTTAATTTTCTGAATTTCAGCCAAATGAAATAACTTCCTAAAACTCAAAATCTGTGAGTTAAACATATTCTTCTCTTAGTATTATCACAATTCTTGCAATTTTTAGGATTCAAAACAGAAGTCAAACTTCAGATTGCCTTAATATTAGCTTCAATTAACAGCTGAGTGATTCTCCCAGACATTCTCAGTCCCATTTGACTGATGTATTTCCTGGTTAGATCAGAGATGTCCACAGGTACTGTCATGAACGCTGCATATTCGTTTCTTTGGTCTTCTGCTGTATCCATCCATGAAACACAGTCCTCTTGTTCCTTCCACATCACCTTTTTAGAAAAGATTAACTGTTTATTTATATGATATTAAGGAGATTCTAGCAGCAAAGAAGCCCTTGTAGACTTTATGAGCACAAAAAGGGCATGGGATCACCAAGACTGTGTTTACTGATTTGCTGATCAAGGTCAGGCATGGGCTGCAGCTGCAAGGGCATGTTTACTGAGACCAGGTTGAGAAATCTGCATGAGTGTCCCTTTCCCCAGCAGCATCACCTCTTAGGAGTGTTGGAACCACCCATCACCTCTCCCACTGCCTCCAGCCCAGAGCACGGACTGCACGTCAGGAGAACTTTGCCAGGTCGCCACTGGTTTGGGAAGATTTAGACTAAGTTTGAAAAGTGATGATGTTCTGTGGTTCAAAGAAAATAAAACCTTAATGACAGGAACTTTGTCACCAAAACCCAAGCTAAAACATTCATACTGAACTAATGGAAGGCTTTGGTGATTTATCACAACCCATCTAAAAAGTGTGCAGGATATGTTTTGAGATATATTCCAATTACCAGCTCACCCAAATTCTTTCACTTGAAACAAACTCAGGATGATTTTTTTCCTTACAGCACTCGTGATGAGTGCAATGCCAGCACACACTGAGCATGAGATACAGGGAATAAAAGTTTCTTTCATTTTCAAGATATGACTCGTGATTTCAACCCAGTCATAAGGTGTAACTTGGAAATTTTATGCTGGCCTTCAGCATCACCCTGGGGAGGAGGGAAATAGCTTTCTGTGAGGGGTTGTGTACTGGGAATGCCCGAGTTTCATATAACCAGAGAACTGGTGAGCTCTGCTGCCACCGACTCTGGAAAGCCTGTGGTAGCTCCGAGTGTTAGGAGAGGAAAAGTCTCCCTCTGGTGGGAGAAGGTTTTTCTGCCATGGAATAAAACCGAAAGTCTTTCCCATCATCAAAGAGCCTAGACTGCAGCAATAATGATCCAAGAATTAGAAGTCTCGATCTACACATGGTATTGACTCTACAGTGTATTCTCAACTCAATCTTTGGTGTCCTACTGTCAATAATTAACTTGAATATTTAAGAACGTAATAGTTTCCTATAAAATTGCTACAGTGACAACTCAGTTCTTTCCTGCTGTGTTACTTAATTGCAGCCTCATTTTACAACAACTTCTTGAGTTTACTACTGTCTAATAATTGGAATCTATTACTTTGGATTTGTTCTGCTAATTTATTTGTAGGTCTTTCACCTCTTTGGTAGACTGCAAAAATCCAATCAAGCCCTTGACATTCATAAAAAGTTGCAGCCAAAATACAGACACTTTATAAGGCTCAGCTAAGCTAAAGATTTGGCTCCTGTGTGCCATTTAGGCCATAGATCAACCACTAAATAACTGTGGTTGGAAAGAAATTGCTCTTGTGGTTATGCCATTGCATGAACACTGTTCTGAAGGTTGCATCACTTCCTCTGGTGCTGCTCAGGGACATTAAAAGTGCAGCACTGTCCTCCACAGCAACTGCTGTGTTCTTACCCATTGCAGTCATTTGTATGTAATGATGCTGAGGAGAGACTTCAGAGGTTTTCTTAAACAACTTTAATATTTTGAACACCAAGGATGTTTCTCACTCCTAGGTCAGTTCCTTGTAATAAGGAGCTAAGTGAACTCTGAACAAATAAAGCTGTGTGTTCCCAAGTCAGTGGAGAATTCCTGGTGTTGGGCTCTTAGCCCACAGCTGCAGTAATTACCTGCAGCCAATTAAACAAGCCTGGAGGCTGAGCTCAGGCCAAGTCCAGGAAGGTTTTGCTCCAGGTGTATTACAGGTCTCACAGGCAATGTTCAAGCACAGTTTGCATGAGAGCACAGACAGGGACAGGCTGGAGGCAGGATTTGCCATGGGGCAGGATGTTAATTCCCATGTAGGAACCTTAGCCACTGTGCAAAGACTTCTGGTGTTGTATGGTTTGAGGATATAACCAAGGCAGGCTGTGTGGGAGAGGAAGAACCTCTTCCGTGGAGCTTCCAGAAAAAATAAAGGTCTCATTCTCTCAGCCTTTGGAGAGACTGATTTCCCAAAGAAGTATGGGTGTCTGGTCCCTCAAGGACTGTTAAAGTATGACATTAGCTCCAGAACATTGAAATTACAAATTGAAGTACATACCTTTCATTCAGGAGGTCAGATTTTGCCGAAGTGAGGTGAGAGCCTGAACTAAAATCAGTTTATTTTCCTTTGTTTGAAACCGTGGACCTCTAGGGTGCATTAAATCATCCCTTAGCTCATCCTTGCCTGTTGTGAGGTACATGATAACCTCTGCAAAAGCCCTGTGAGAAGCACCAGGGCAAGTTGTTAAACTCACATCACAGCTGAGTGGCAGCAGCCCAGGGCATGGTGACATGCAGCAGCTTCCTGAGCATGAGAGGAGAAGCCTGTGTTTCTTCCCACACTGCAATGCAAAACACCCTGTGAGAAGAGATTACACACAGATGCAATATCAGCAATTAACCTCTGACTTTGTAAAAGGAAGAGCCTTGCAGCTAACCAGATAGCACTGAAGTGCTGTCACTCTAATTACAAATGCTGCACGGAAGGAAAAGCCTCTTTCAGGGGAGGGGGTTGAAACCAAGGGCTCCTACCAGTCCTTGGATTTACTGTACTCTCAGGTCTTATCTTAAGTGTTCTGTCTCTGTGATTTAACCTCTGTGAGATAAAAAAATGCATTCTGTGTCTTGTAAGAAAAAAACCATACAGAATAGAAAAAATTCACGTTTAAAAAACAGGATAAAAGAATCATTCACTACCTGATAGGCTCCCTGATAGTTTAAATTTGACCCTTGGTCTCCTTAGATCTGTACCTATTGAGGTACCAAGACATGGCTGGCACATTGTGCAGAAGAGGCAGCTGCTCTTATGTTCCCACTCAAATTACAGCTGAACTGATGATCTTAGGGGTCTTTTCCAACCTAAATTAATCTATGGCTCTGTGAAACATATCATGGCATCTCATGCTTGCCTTGTTCAGGATTCCACCTCCCCAGAGCTCACCTGCAGGGTGCTGCAGGGAGAGTTGAATGGCTAATGCCAAACTTCCATCTCATTTGTGTTGTTTCATACCCATTGGTTTCAGTAGGAATCTCCAGGATTTACATTACTGGAAGCAGGAGGGATATCAAGACCAAGGAAGGGTTACTGATATGTGATTGCACATGGGAAATATTCCTGAATGCACTTAATATGGGACTTATTTTTGCCTTTCACCTGCCTTCAAAGAGTAACTATTATTCCTTTCTTACCCAGTCCCCTACCCAGTGTCCTTTAGGAATTGTGTGCTACCATTGTTTTTTTCCCCAGGGTATTTTACTAATGAGTCTTTCTCTCCAATTTTGCCTAGATCCTGGTTTATAATCCAGCTTTTATGAAATACATCTATGAAAACTGGCTGGAGCATCATGGGAGATACCCCTCCACAGGCCTTCTGTCCTTGATGTTTGCTCTCCATGTATGCGATGAGGTAAAGTCCATCTGGTTTTGGATATATGGATAAAAAATCAGGACATTTCACACTGAAGAGCCAGGAGCAACCTCTGGCCACTCACTCAGCCTTTGTTCCCCCCTCTCCACCTTCTCTGCTGTTTACCTCTTCAAACATATGCAGACTTCTCAGAAACATACAGACATGCTCAAGGGATAGTGATGGATTTTTTTAATGTCAGCAAATTGCAGGGTTTATGATGCACTCCAGGAGAATATAATTAAACATAAACAGAGGTTCCAGCTGGTATCAAAAGATGTCTAGACATGGATGGTATCTGTGCCCATCTTGCTGATGTTTGTGAAAATTTGAATTATGTTTTGTCTCATATTTTCAAACTCAGGCTTGTGGGTTTATACTGTAGGTTATAGTAAATGCCTTTGCTCCAGCAGTTACTTGGGGAAATTCTCTGGTTTGAGTGATGTGAGGTGCTCCAAGGTGACTGGAGACTCAGCTGCTTAGAACAAGGTCAGCTCTACAAAATCCTGCAATCATGGGCTTGGCAGCATGGGGGAAAAAAAATCACTTTGCTGGCAAAATCCCTGTCCTGGTCACATCTGCTGATGAGAGTGTTGGTCACTCCAGCCTGTTTTGCTTGGAGAGGTGATGGAAATACTCCTAAAGATACGGGAAGAAATTCTTATCATAGTCACAGCAGGTTGGATGGAGCCTGTTTTCTGGTAAGCAGGCAATGAACAGGCCTCTGACATTACCAGAAAGAACTTAAAAATAGCTCATATTTGAATGGCCCTGGGGGTGGTTGGTTTAGGGAGCTGGTTTGGGGCTATGGCCCATTCAAATACAGTCAGATATATCACCACTCTGAGCTTAAATAAATCAGTGGAGATGTTTGGACTGTTACCATCAGAGGAGACAGGCGTAGCCATCGACAAACGAGACTTTGGGAGAGGGAGAGGCTGTAGGTGGGTACACAGGCAAAGAACATAAAATCCATCTGTCTCTGAAGTAACTGGAAATATCATATAATCAAGCATATAAGTGTGGTCACCATGAGTCATTATTTAGAAGACCAGGACCAGGCCAAATTTTTTTTTCACTCTTTGTGACTTAAATCAGCTACAGAGGAGATTCCCATCCCAAGCCACAGATCTCCTGGGGTCAGTCATGCTGAAGGGATAGGAATGCATTTTCATATTGCTAAATAAGGATTAATGGATGGAAATCTCCTTTTCCCTCTGAGTTCAGGTCTGGAGGTGTCTCATCACACGTGCCTTGGGTAGGCCCTGGGCTGTTTCTCTGTGGTCACGTCCTGCAGCAGAAGAGCTCAGGACGCCGCTGAGGAGCTCAGTACATACACTGAGAATAAAGATTTTCTTCATTTTCAGTATTTCAGATGAGGAGCAATTGCTTTCCAGTTCATAATACTGGTTCTCCCTTCCATGCTAGGTGAATGTGTACGGCTTTGGAGCAGACAGCAAAGGACACTGGCATCATTACTGGGAAAACAACACTTCAGGTGGGGCTTTCCGGAAGACAGGCGTCCATGACGGGGATTTCGAGTTCAATATAACTTTGACTCTTGCCTCCATTGAAAAAATTAAATTTTTCAAGGGCAGATGACCCTGGCCACGGGGACAAGTGGGGGCTGCAATTTCCAGCATGCAGCAGAACAGAGCTCAGTGAAGATGATCTGGACACCAGCCAGGTTTGAATGCGTGGATCTGTGGTGGATTTGGAGCAGCTCACACTGCAGGAACGAGGCTGAGGACCGGCTTCCAGGTTCCAAGCTGCACACATTTTCCTATCTGTGGATAGCCAGGAGCTACCAATCACTTGTGGGAATAAATTAATCTCTGCTTAGGCTCTACAGCTCGATTCTTGAATTACTGATGAAAGATCTGCCTGTTGCAATTAGAGGAAGCCTGAGCACAGGAACTGGTATCTGTGTGTCTGTTCTCTCCTCGAGCAAGGCAGGAGATCCTTGAAGAGGAGAGAAAATGACTTCTGGGACTTGAGATCCACTAAGGCAGCTGTGAACATCATAGTAAGGATTACCTCAAAGAAATGAATTCACTTCTGCTGTTGATCTTCTTTTTGAACCACCTCTTCTCTGTTCTCTTACTACTTCCGTTTTCATGCTGTATTAAGGAAAAACATGATGAAGTTGCCTGGAGGAGTAAATATTTCAACCATTGCCTCATTTTGCATTGATAGTGTCTAGAAAATCATCTCATCTATTATTTAACATTGTTTCCTACACTTCCTCCATCCTAGTGATGGAGAAAATAATACTGAAAACTCCAGAAAAAAAAAATGGCCTTTTTAGCCACTTGTTTGTTTCATTTGGTTATGTGTAATTTTGGGGGGTTTTGTGCTTTTTTTTTCCTTGTTTTTTTCTGTGTGGTTTTTTTCTTTTTTTTTTTTTTTTTTTGTGGAAAATACTCTGAAATGTTATTTTTTTTATTTTTTTATTTAATCAGTTTAAGATTGGAAAGTGGACTTGCTTCAAGTCATTTATATGTGCCTTTTATATAATTGTGCAACAAATGTGATTTTTTTTTTCAAGATGACAAACCCTAAATTAAACTTTTTTTATTAAAAGGGGGAAAATTAACCAAAGTTTAGCTTCTGTCTGGTATGCTTTTGTAGTCAAAACCAATAATAACAATCCTATATTGTACTTGAACAAACACAAACAAGAGAATTTTTAAAGGTAGCTTTTACCTTTTTTTATGGGAAAATATTCAAAAGTCCCAAGGAAAAGTTTCTTCTTAATTTTTTTTTTACAAGTCTAAAAATGTGATATCTCTTCACAAGCTCTCTATCTGAAATGGAAAAAAAAAATCATGGTTTGGGATATTAACCAGTTATACACTAAGAATCTTTTGTTGTGTAGCAGCACCTACAAAGACACAATCTGCACAAGTTGATCTTAGAGCATGAGACAGACTTCAAAATCATGCACATCTCTGGAGAAATGTGTATTTTGATTTCAGTACCTCTGGGCAGTGAGAGGAGGAGAGGTACAGTGGAGGTTTTATATCCACAGATTTTTGATGGAATCAATGCATTAAAGCTTCAAGGACAGATAAAGTATAAATCCAAGTTCAGGCAGGGAAGAATGGAGAACAGTGGCCTTTTCTTCTCAATATCATGAAAACAGGACTCGTGAATTATGGATCCACTTTCAGCCTTGGTGAAACCAGGGGAGTTCTTGCCACAGACTTCGAGGGACTTCTGATTAGGCTGGGGAAAAATGGCATATTTAATTTTTAATGTATCACATTGGCTGGAGTTTTTTTTATGTCAAAAGAAATCATCATCTAAATGTCCTCTCTTCTATGCACCGGTTGTGGCAGCATGTCCAAGCAGATGAATATTTGAGGTCTGTGATAGCCCTTCAACAGTGATGTGCTCCATCCAGGATTTATCCCCTAGTCTTTCTGCTCCAGTTGGTACCAGTGAAGTGCCCTCCAAGGCAGCAATACATGGCACAGTGTCATGGTCAGCTGGAATTTTGGGCCACAGCACCGTGCACCAACATGAATTGCTTTACTCTCATGAGCATCACTGGATTTGTGGTGTATAGAGAGCCAAGGATGCCAAATGTCTGTGTGGGCATCGAGCTCCCTCAGCTCGTGTGACCCTTCAGGACAGCAACATGGAAAGGGCAGGATTTTCAAATCCTCATGATGAGACCTGTTGACAATCCTCACGTCAAGGAGCCATTTCCCAGCACGGTGGCCAGCAGAACTCACCTTCATGTCACAGGCACAGCAGATTTGATGGGTTTACTGTCTTCTACATGTCCTTTGAAAAAGAATGAAGCATTACTGCCTGAACCATGTTTGTTTGCTTTAAGCATTCCTGCTTGTTTAAACTGCTGTTAATCAATATGCCTCTTGTGAGATGCTGCAGTAATACAAACAAAGCAAGTTTAAGAGGTAAAAGGCTATGTGTGAGATGCCAGTGACAACTTCACAGTGTGGCTGGATTTTGGAGCTTCAAATACTTTTCTTTTTTTCCTCATGGACAAATATTAGTAATTCAGAAACATTGACTGCTCTTTCAGTCATTTTTAGAAAGATTTGGAAGAAAACTCATGGTGGTTTATCCCCTTGATGTTTTGTTTTTGTTTTTAATCATGGGTCAATTTAGAATCAAAAAAGAAGCCAGCTATATTCTAGCCTGTGTTGTTCTGAAATCTTCCTTTTGCTGTTCTAATAAAATTTCCATTTCCCCTGAACATTCTGCCTCTGACAGCACATATAAAACTTCGTGGCTCATATATGCAGATAGATTTAGTGTCCTCATCATGGAACACACTTCAATTCCCATTTAATTTTGTTGTCAACAGCAAGCAGTAACTGTGTACCACTGATGTCCATTTTTCAGAGTGTTAGGAGAGCAGAGAGTGGATCTCTCCAGGTGTAGGATGAGGAATAGTCTGTGTCATCATGTTTCTATTCCAGGGGAACTTTTTCTGGAGTCCTTTAGGCAGCTAACTATTGTGTTAGATCCTTCTCTAGGTTTCTCCACAATTTTGCTGCTCTTTCAGTTGCCTTCAGAATCAGGAGGTACCAACAAATGATCCTGAGGGAAGAATTCATTTCCACTGGCATTGTTGAAGGCTGTTTTCCTGTTAGAAACTTTTTGGGTTTTTTTGGTTTAAAAGAACCAGGGAAAACATTTAACAACATGTTAAGGCTTCAAACTCTTGGACTGTATTTGCCACCACTGCAAAATCTCTGAAGCACTCCTTGAGTGTGTGTTATGTTTTTTACCAAAGCCAAATCTCTTGAGCACTTTTTTCCTCCCATGACCAGGTTTTCTTTGTAATTTTCTCTGACTTCACAATCTATTATGATTTTTTTCTCTAATGGTGGGAAGTCTCATACAATCATTCGTTGATATTTTATTTATTTAATTTTTCAGTATGATATGAATCAAAATAAATTTTTTATTGTAATCAAATCAAAGTGTCTCTGTGCACACTTCTTTTTCCACAGTATTTTCATTAGCTCCTAGAACCTCTTCTGTCACATAACAGTGTAATGAAGCTTTTTCCATTTCTTTGCACCCATCCAGTCAGACTCAATGATCTTAGAGGTCTTTTCCAACCTCTGTGATTCTGTGATCCCTTGGGTGACCTTGGCGTGTTTCAGGCTGCTTGTGGTCATGGCATCACACTGCTCACATGGCAGCTCTAGGCCTTTCTGCAGAAAAGAAATTGAACCTAATGTGGTCTCCTGATGGATCTATGCTCTATTTAAGAGATAAATAAGGAAAATTAACGCAGACTCAGAAATCAGTGACTTGAGAGATGATTCAGCTTGTGTGACCTGCCTGAGATCAGAGGATCCACCCCAGGTCCCTGTTTTTGGGCCTGCTGTGGTCACACAAGCACTGCAGTTATGGCTGGCTTAGCTGTCCATTGTGAGAACCCCATCCAGGAGATGGATCCCTTTGATCAGGTGTCACTTCAGCAGGTCACACCCACATCTGCATGACCATGGCTCTACATGTGGGAACATCACCTTGGCTGCTTCTCATGGACCTCATAAACTGCTCACTTTCCTTATCTGTCCTTTCCTTTTCATTGTTTAAGGGACTGAGTAGGGTAGATGGCCTGGCAGTGATGCAAGTTGCCCTTTGAAATGCAGCCATCCTGATGGTAGGAGCTCATCAGAGGTCAGCTTGGGAAGCTCCTGTTCAGACACAGGCAGTGATAAATTGGTCACAGTAAGAGCTGCTGTCTAGTGTGACCCTCAGAGCATCAGGTTCTCAGAATCTGCCTGACACTTTGCTTTTCAACCCAGGCTCTAGACATGCTGCATCAGTGAGCTATTAGCCACCATTAATGGATACAGCCCAGTCAGAATCACACTTGTTGAAAATGAGTGGGAAGTAGAGACACACAAGTCTGTGGAGCTATTCCAGTCACTTCAGGTGCAGAGGAGAGGCAAAGCACTTGCTCCTCTGCGAAGCAAAATAACACCAAGGAACAGCTTTATTGGAAATCATTTTGTATTTTGCTTCATGTCCACTCACAAGAGGTGCAATGCAATGCAGCTTCCAGGTCTGAAATTATTTTGTCAGGAAAGTAATTTGCATAAAATTACAATCTGGAAACCACTTGAGACTAGTAAGACATGCAGCAACAACAACATGCAGACAGATGGACTGACCACAGGACTTGGAAAGAGAACTTTGCTTATACCATCAAATGAAGAACAGAAGTACCCACAGGGGAACTGTATGGCTTCAGTCCATGGCATGGGTTCCTTTGATGGCTCACAGTCAGAATAGCAATTAAACCCAATGAATAAAAAGGCAAAGGAGTCCCTTGCCACCCTTAAAAATCTGTTTTCCCTTGTCTTTTCTATAGAATTTGAGGGAGTTAATCTCCTTACATTTATTGTCTTGAGGCAATATGAAATAAAATAGGGAGAGTGAAAAGTTCTTCATGGTCAGGTATTGTATGCAGAGGTAAATCTCTGTTTTCAGTTAAATTTTCTCCTGTAGGAAATTTACCATGTTGGTCTATTCCTTAGCTTGCAGATTCTAAGGTAACCTTTGGCTGGCAGAATATAAATATATCCATGTGTGAGTGTGTCTGTCCCCATGACATTAACACTCCTTGTCAGACAGGACATTTTCCACAATAGTTAGTTTCCATGTTATCAGAGACTCAGCAGCTACCAGCTGGCCTCCCTGTCCACCCAGACACCAGATCAGTAAGGAAAGCATCCTAACCTGTGCCACAAACACTGCATCGCTGCAAACACTGCTGCAGCACCATGGGTGCCCCAAATCGAGTGTTACATCAAGGAGCCCCTAATGGCCGTGTGTCCCCATGTGCATTTTTGTGTTTCTCTCCTTGCTTTACTGGGGCTGGCCCCAAAGAGCTGCCACCATCCAGGGAAGCTGCACATTTCCCACAGTCTGGGGCTGGGGGTGTGGATGGACTGGCCATTCCTGAGCTGTGCTTTGAAGAGTTTCCAGTTTACAGCCACATCTGGTCTTCAGCCTGTGCAAAAACCACACTGGGTTTCATATGGTAGAAAATAGTGATTTCATAGCTTCAGTCATAGAATCATTATGTCCTGGGGTGACTTTATAGTGCTGAATTCTACCCCCATTTGTCTGTTTAGCCCAGAAACAGGTTTTGTGCCTTTAACACTAGATCTGAGAGGGAAGTGGGGGAGAAAGAAAAGCGGTGGAATTTTTTCATGGCTTTATTCAAGAACATAGAGATGGTTGGATAGAATGGTTGGGTTGGAAGAGACCTTCGAGATCTTCCAGTTCCAACCCTGCTGCCATGGACAGGAACACCTTCCACTAGACCAGGGTGCT